AGCAACCATGGTACAAATAACTATTCCGGTAACTATGGCACAGATGATCATATAGCAACCATGGTACAAACAACTATTCCGGTAACTATGGCTCAAATGACCATCTAAAGACTGATGTAAATGAACCCATAATAATCATCGATAAAATGTGTCAATGAAATAACTATAATTCGGGTAGTGGTGTAAAACGGCTTACAAAAGCATTTAATTAGTCAGAGTCAGACCAAATGAGCAGTATGGATTTAAAGAAATCGTTTAAATTATTCATTATTGTAGGATTGATGTGCAATGTTGTATCAATGAATATCTAATTTATTAATAGTTTAGAATTAATGCGCGAATTGAAGCATAAAATATTGATTAATAAAACTCAAATTTTATGAATAATATAATTCATATTTTTGTACGTACAAATAGCGCCAATATAATTACAAAAAAAAAATCGCATTCTTGTCTAATCTTATTGAGCGCTATTTATATTTATAAAAGCAAAAAAAAATAAAACAAAAACGACAAAAAAAAATAAAATTTGTAAAATGCATTATCTTTACTTAGAGTGAGAATTCTTCGAATTAAGTTTTCTGCTCGCCTAAGATATACTGGTTATATTATCAATTTTGCGTATTACTTTTTTAATGTAGCTTTTTATGCTATTACATCCGTACATGTATTCTATCAGTCTAGGGCTAAGTGAATCGCTTGACGATGAACGTTACTTGTAGTGACAAACAAAGCGAAAAAGAAAAATAATACAACGAAATGAGTTTCATTGGAATTATATTTATTTCTCACAGAAAAAATTATTTCTGCGTACAAACAAACAAACGTACGAATGATGGCAAGTCAATTGATTGATATTTGAAGTTCTCTTTTATCTGATATTTTTGTTTTGGGGCATTCAATAACATACCTAAATTAATAACAATTTTTGACAACTAGATTAATACAATTATCTGAACTTGTGGCAATGCTGATGTCAATCAAGCACAATTAATGAATATCTCAGGTACGAGCTGCCCAATATTTAGCACTCCGAACCATTTTTTTAAATAATGAGATAGGTCTTTGTTTTCAAAAACAATACTTGTTTTCTACAGGTATGAATCATCGAAGGGTGTGTATGTGGAATGTGCATGTCGATTGATATCTTCTCAGTAACTACCCACATCCACATTCAAAACTAGTGTGAAAGATACAGATGCATATATTTTATCTGCACTGTCATAACAATCTTCTATTCACGTGTCATTATTTACTGCTTGTTTTAAACACCATACCTCTCCTATGTTTTCATCGAGATAATAAAGGAGCAGTTGTTTGCATCTTATATATCGAGTAACAATGATGGATGTAACAGATGATATGTTTTACTCTGCAATGCAATTGATAGGTGTGTTGCTCAACAGTTCAACACATGTTTTTTGCAACTGGCAATTGTTTAACACATCATTTTTGACGCAAAAGCTCGTATGATATTCATAAAATGGAATTGTGCTTGGCAGCGGAAAACATGCTTTTTCTAAAACGCAGATCAGATTTTTGACATATGGTTTCTAGAAAGCTTCTTGAAGATCTAGTCTTTCTTGTATTTTGTATTTCAGACATATCTATTATTAGCATATGAACGGTTGAGAAGTAATGATAAAAATAACACAACAATGATATCCAGTACATATCAGTTCATGAAATTACTATTCATAATTATTAGTAATCTTCTTAGGTCATCATGTATTGCCTCGCCGGTATCCACTCGATTGTATGTTGTTCTGTTTCCATCGCTTCTCGGCAATAACAGCGATGGTTCACTCGCACATCTATATTCATCGCTTTAACAAACACTTGATCACATCGAGCGTGACTACTATTATGGTAGGACTGCAGTGCGTCGAACAACAATCAGTGTATATCCAATGTATCACTTCGTTGATACAGTCCACTTGACATAAGCTCATAGTCACACTCCATTAACTACAATGAGTCAAATAGATATTGTGGCTTACAAAGAATTGGCTGCTCGTGAACACACGCATCACAAATTAACAACTGCATCTATTAGTGGTGGAGTACCGGTGCGATTGGCTGGACACGAGTTAGTGAAAATACCTATCGTGCTGTCGTTCCATCGTCACTATTTGTCCACCAATTTGTTCGTTAATAATAAACAAATTGTTCGTACACGTGCTCCAATGAACTAAAGTACGATACGGTTTTCAATATGTGACAGGATAATTTGACGATTAGTCATTAGTTGATGCCATGGTGGTTATCTATCACAGTTGAACAGAATCACATCATTACATTGATCGACTCATTACAAGAAACAACACTATTTTAGTTACCAATCCATCCCAGTATGGCATTGGAGCATTTCCCACGCAAGAATAACGACGATTTCAGAGTGAAAATTTTTGTGAAGTACTTGTTTCAGACTCTTTTTGTTTTGTCAATGAAACGAAAACTATTTATCTTATGACTGATGGTTCTTATGATCCAACAAAGGTACACATTATCACATCGGTCAATGAAATTGTTGTATCAATCGCTAGCAATGATGCAACTCAGCCGGTTGAGAATGTTATCATTGATAACGTAGCAATACAACATGGTGCATGGAATATAGGTCGCACTGAACAAGTCAATTCTGCATCAGCTGCATTTCTCACATCTGTAGCATTATTTATTGCCAATGCACCGGCAATCCTTATCTCAAATGTTGAAATCAGTCATACCGATTCATATGGTTTACGAATAAGAGAAGGAACTTTAAATGGCAATTTCACTAATTCACTAGTTAATGATATAGGTGCATGTGGTGTTTGGATGACAGATATATCGATTTTAGCTAATTCAAATAAAATCCTGTCGAACGAAATTAGTTATGGTGGTAACGTCTTTCCAAGTAGTGTTGGTGTTCTCGTTTTTCGTTCATTTGGTATTGTCATTGCTGATAATACTATTCATCATCATCGATACAATGAAAATATCTGTTGGTTCTCAAAATGGTTACACTCAATCATGGACATCAAAGATTTTAATCTTAGAAACTTATATATTTATAATATTGGACAACATATTCTTTGTGATCAAGCCCTAGAGAAAGTACTGAGTTCAGGGTACCCATGTGCTGAGAAAGCTCTAACAGGGTACCCAATATGGGTACTTTGAAAATTCTCAGTAATTTTACTGATGTATGTACTGTTTCGGGTACCCGTAAAAGTACATTCACTGAATAAGTACCTGCATGGATACACAAGTGTGTAACTTTACTGAGGAAATCTCGACAGGGTATCCTAAATTTTTCGCGTTCTGTGTGGCGACTATTCATTCACCGTTTTCTTTTTTACGTACGGCTCTATATAAACAACTCGATAAATCATAAGAAAATAATCAATTTTCATACTAGTTTTTTCTAAATTATTTCTTGACTATTTCTTAGTCGAGGAAATGCCGAGCTTGGTCGTAAATTAAGATCAGACTACCTTGAAGTGGTCTACGACCAACTCAAGTTGAGTCGGATCCCGACATTGTTCCTGCTAAGTTTTTGGAATTGAAAAAATTAAATTGAATAAAGTAAAAAAAAATCTAGTAAATTATCTTAAGAAAAAGAAAAAATTTTAAAAAGTCAAAGATCAGGTTCGATCCTGAACATACTGAAAATTTGGTAACAGGGTACTTAGAAATACTATACAATGGTACCCAATTCAGTACTTGATCAGTACCTTTAGGTACCCAATTACTGTGCATTTTCCAGCAGGGTACTTGCCAAAGTACCACTTAAGTACCTGTAAGTACCCGCAAGTACTTTGGTACCCAACAGTTCCTGTGACATACTGGTATCAGGGTACTTTTTTGGGTACCCTTAACTCAGTATATTCTCTAGGGAGGTGATATTTATACAATTGATATCCAGCCAGGAACAGTAATCCATAGCAATGTTTATCTCGACGATGGTGCATCAGATATGATCGTTTCCAATAATGTTGTATCCAATACCGGTGGGAGTTCCATGTTTCAACACGATGGAGCGAACAATACAATCATTAATAATGTAGTTGCACGTGCATCGTTGATTCAACCACCACAGCCTGGTGACCCCATGCCAGACGGTGATGTACGTATTCAACTTGCTGAAAATCATACTTCATGGATATATACACGCAATATTGTTTATGATACATTCCAAGGAACTAATCATTCTGTGTTCAAATCTGATCCACATGTCATTGCATCATTTAGTAACAATGTCTATTATAATTCATATGGTACTCCTTTACTATTTGGCTCAAAACAAACATCATTTTTCGAGTGGCAAAAATCTGGGCAACACAATGGTAGTGTTATAGCAGATCGACTATTCGCTGGCGATGTCAATCAATGCGATTTCTTTACTGTTCAACTGGAAAGTTCTGCGGCAAAACTTAAATTTGTAAATTTGACCAAACGTTCGACATGGACTCCAGGGTGTAGTGTGGATGATGGAATTGACCACAATCAATTGTACCATTGGTAATCGAGCTTATTGCTGATTTTTACCTTTCTTTTTTCTAGCAGATCGGTTGAGAAATTATTAGTGTTGTAGAGTCTTCTACTAAGTTGCTAACGAAAGTTTTTCACATTTCTTCAAGTTAAAAATAGTTTAGAACTTGTTTATTTACTTGATGTGACAGTTTTTTTTTCTAAATTCTTTCACTTTTTGATAAACATTTTTATTTATTACAAGTAATACTCGTCGCTATGACTCGCTCGAGAGTCAGTGTCGATGTGTCTTTTCCTTACCTCCACTCAACCCTAAAATTTACATATTTGACAAAATTTTTATTGATCTTGACTTAAGAAAAGAAAAGAAAACATGAATAAAATATCTCGAGAATTGATGATTTGTATCACTGTAATAAATAACTGGATAGTCTACATCAATTTTTCATTTGCATAAGAGTTATGCTTTCAACGAAAAATATCATTTCATCCTTTAATATATCACAGTAACGCATGATAATCATCATTTCTCAAATACAAAAAAAAAGAAGCTTTTTATTGACATTTTTCAATCGCTTCATTCAATGCATTTTTTATCAATTCTAATGGAAATGAACCTTGAATCGGTTGAGCAATATAACTAAACTTTTTCATATGATCAATAATATAAAATCGAATCGGCCATGGACTATAAACTTGACTAAATGGATTATTATTTGATACTGGATCAATTAATAATGGAATGTGATAGTTTGTTGCTTTGATAAAATCATATGCAATACTAATTCGATCTTCATCAGTTTTTGGTTGAACATAACATATTCGACTACCAATAGGCCTATTTTATTCAATATGAAAATGTACTTGAAAAGAAATTTTTTTTGATTAACTTACCATTCATCAACTGCATGAGCTTCTTCAATATAAATAGTGATCATATCAACATGATCTTGATAAAAATCCATTAATTGATTAAGTTCTGGTACAAGACCACGAAATGGTGGTCAAGTATATGAACCAGCAATAATTAATAATGGTCGATTGAAATGAAAATAAGATAATAATGAAACAAATTCACCATTCATATTTAATAATTGAATATCAACTGCCAAATCACCAACATGAAGATTTCCTTGTTTAGCACGATTATGTCGAACATAAAGAGATAAATTATGAAATTCACTATCATTTAAATATAACTGATGAGCACTACGTAATATTCTAAAACATATATAAAATATTCAAAATTACAATCGAATCATAAAGGATGTTGTCAGAAATCTATGACAAGTTTGTTTTTCATCTCTGATCTGCTAAGACGCACTTGTAGAAAAAAAAAATAAAAGCTACTTATTCAGGGTCCACATTTGACAAACTATTGCAAAAGTAACCATTGTTTCGATATTTTTCGATTTCGTCCTATTCATTCTATTGAATATTGTTGGCAATTTTCTATCAGACTTGCGAGGGTGTGGGTGTGGTTGTAGATTGGGAAGCAGACACTCACATCCACACCCTTAAATGACATACATGATTTAAAAATCTTGAATACACAGTGAAAAGAAATTATTGATCGATTCTGACTTGTAATAGCCGATGCAAATCTAATACTAGTTAATTGAAGCCTGACAATATTTAGAAAACATTTAGTTGAATTTGACTTGTTCACTTTCTTTGAAATGAAGAGAAAAAAAAAGCAATACTAATTTCAGATGGAATTACTTATCACTTAGAAACATTTGAATACTTCTTTCATCATAGCATTAGCAAATCATTTTATTTCATGTAAAATATAACATATTTACCTTAAACCATATTGAATTTCATCTTCTGTAGCATCTTTACCAATGGCATTTTTAATTAAATTTGTTTGTAAATCAGCTATAATATCCATCCAATCAATATCTTTTCGATCTTCAATACTTGATAATAATTGTTGAGTTTCTTGACTAAGTCTCATTTTTTCTTCTTGAATAAGTAAATCTTTAAGTACATCATGTTCTAATAATCGAAATACTCGTAGTTGTTGTTGAAGATTTAATTGTCATTGTTCATTTGAAACACCATTGTCATCATCATCTTCATCATCATCTTCATCTTCATGATCAGTCATGTTCGATAATATAATGCTCTTTAAATGTGGGATATCAGCAGATACAGAGAAATCTTTGCTTGCATTAAATAGTGTTGAAAGAAGAAATTGCCCGTGTAACAGAGAATTTTGCAATTCAGCTGGTGACAAATCTCTAGGGTTCTCCGTATTTTTAAATTCGAAAGCAAGAACATTTTTAATAGCATCAGCTCCTGTATGAGGCAAATTTTGAAAATCTTGTCGACCACTCGTAAAATGATACATTCCACCACGTAAACGTAGGACTAGATGAATCGTAGATTCCTTTTGTATTTTATAATCCGCAAGAGTCATATTATCTTCTAGTTGCTTTCCAGAAAATATTATACGTTGCTGATCAGGAGGAATACCTTCCACATTTCGTATCAACTGTTTTACTGCATCTATACCCATGTAAGAATTGACTTTTATAGTAATCGTCTTTCCAGTAAGAGTTTTCACAAAAATGTCATAATTAGAAGTCGACGCAATAGCATTAGTCTATGAAAAGAAAGTCATCAGATATGATGAATGCGAAATATTTTAATTTACTTTTTCTTGTAGGACTTTTGCTATGATGATAGAATTATCTTGATATAACTGACATGACAAAACGGTATCACCTGAATTGAATGTTTGACCTTCACTCCAATTTTGATTATTCGTTGAAGAATCTTTGTCTAATATAAATGATTTGAGTTCAATGTCGGAAAGTTTTCGAAGATTTTGTATTCGCATTTTAATCTTCTCGATACTATCTGTTAGGAGAACAGGAAGTACATATTCTTGACGTGGTATATCTTCTCGGAATTCTATCAAGATATTTAATTCGCCATATGTAATAAATCGATAACCATCTGAATAGTTGGATACAGATGATTTTAGTTCAGAATTATTCAATTGTGAAATGACGTTTCCGCTAATGGTTCCAATTTTCACCCAATTTTGTAAATATTTTGGCACATAATTCTTCTTGTATTGTTTAAACAATGTGCTAATTAATTCATGATTCATATATTTCTTAGTTACTGAGTTTCCATATGGGTCAACAAATGTTATTGAACGTGATTTTAATTCCTCTCGTACTTTTTTATTATTGTTCCATTGATCATGAAGATATTTTGTAATTTCAATCATTTTTCGTTGAATTGCTTGAATATGAAAGATTAAATCTTCGTAAACAAATGATGTTAAATTTGTCGATAAAATAGCTGTCGATCCCACTGTTGCATTATCCATCTGTAGACGAGTAGGTATTTGAAACTAAAGAGATGAGAACGAACCAAATATATTCAGATGCATATAACTTTTTTCAAACAATAATTATAAGGGTGTCGGGGTAGGTAAATATGAATCTCTTTTTTTGGGGGATACCTTGATACTCACATGCGCTCAACTTTTCTATGTAAATGAGGAAATTTTCGAAAAATTTTACGAATAGTTTAGGAATTCTCATTAATAATTTGAAGTAGTCTTTCAGACGAAAAGAAAGAATATTAAAAAAGAAACGCTGATTGAGAGAGGGCGTATGTGTGAGTGTCTATTCTCTTCGCCTACACCCATGCCAGCTTATAATTCGTTTCAAAGTTGTAGAAAAACGAACTAAAACCAGTAAAAAACAGTTTGCAGTTGAGTAATTTCTTATCTAACCGTTTTTTTACATGTGAGAGGTATGTTGTTACAATAACGCGTTTAATGACATCATGACTGCGCAAAAGAAGAAATGAAAAAGACTCAAAATGCAGCAGTTTATAAATGATGTCCATAAATGACTCATTTGGTGGAAAAAAACATTTTGCTTTTTTCTTCCAGCTTCGAAATATTACATCATGATTACTCATTTTGCTCTTCTTGGGAAAAGGCATGCTTAGATTCGCAAAAAAAAAGAAATTTTCTCATCTCTGAAAACTTTTAGTATAGCTTATTAATATCTTCATAACAAAGTACAGACATTTCGAAAAATTCTCCGATATTACCGTACCCTATCGTGAAAACAACTGTAAAGCTAGTAAAATAAATGGAAAACTCCTCCAGAATGACACAAGCAAATTTCTAACTAAACTCAGGGTGTGGGTGTGGGTGTGGTTCTTTGCTTCATCCACACCCACACCCTGCAAATCTTCGTGTTCCAAATTCATCTTGCTGTTAAGAACCTTGAATTGTATGGTCGGTAATAAAATAGATTCTCGTTTACCAGAAATCATTGAAAGAGTTGCTATACCTCTTGCTGAGAGCGATTTAATCACAAAAAATTACTAGTTGATTGCTCACCAATAAAATAAATAGTAAAATATATGCATATATCATTTCTCGTGAATAGTGATGAGACGGCCTACTATTAAGAAAATAAAAGTAAAGCAGAATAGGAAGTACCTAGTTGTGTCTTGAACATTATTAGAATTCATTTTACTCCAAGGAACTTCTAAGAGGTTTCAATTATTTTTATAAAACTAAGATAAATTTTAGCTTTATTGAGTGACAATACATTGCCGATTTCGAGGGCAATTTGTTGACATCCATATCGAAAAGTTTCAAATAATGGAATCAGGATTAAAACTTCTCGAATTTTCCACTACGAGGAGCTGCGTTGAGTGATGAATCAACTTCCCATCCAAATGTATATGCTTTTATTGTAGCAATTTCTTCCTTTAGCAATGCATTTTGATCAAATGATTCATGTAATTATCCTAAAACCTTATTGAACGCGTCCTTTCGCAACAGTCAGCTCCACACATATAATCTATGAATATTTAAAAGATATTTTTTTCTTTACTGTTCATAGTCAAGCAAATATAAAACAACTATCAACGGATCTATTCATTCTTTGTAAAATTAACTAGTTCTTGATTTCAATGTTGTTTCAAATCTATCGTTATTACTTCACTAATTTTTTTCTTTTTTTTAGATTTTGTTACTAAACCTGTAAAGCAAGAAGATAAAAAGGGAGGGGAATAGTGTATCACACAGATAAACTAATAAACAATGCAAGATGTGTTTTAAATTTTAATATACAATTCACTATGATTTCCATCAAAATGTACTACTGCACATATTCGTCCTATATATTAGAAAAATCATTATTGTATGAAGCGATATAATGATATTCTTGAAATGAATCTACCTTACCTTGATAGTAAACCAACCGATTATGTAGAATAAAATATGAAATATTGGACAATCACCAGTCAATTAAGATACGCTCAATAAGAAATAAGTATAGTTGGTATGAAAATCAACTTAATGATAAAATATCAATAAATAAGTAAATTTGAGAGTTATTTTTTGTAATATATTGGTAATAATTCTAAGAGATTCCATTGTATATGATTGCCCCATAAACCCTGAACTACTTTATCAGAAACCGTATTCATGATGGAAGTTTCAAGGAAGATTGAACTTGGGAACATGTTCTGTGAAAAAACTGTTCTTTATGAATGCGGTCTAATACTCACACAAAAATCTGAGCCTTTCCATGATCTAGAGATTTCGAACAAGACTTTGTAATATTTCAAGATGGTTTTGAACTTCACACTGAATTTTATGAGGATTTTATGACTTGTAGATTCTTTCTCAATCACATCGCTAACAAATGAAATGGGTTCTATGTATTTCAACATTGCAGTAAAATTTTCTAGTATGCATCGATGAACTATCGAAAGGAAGTCATATCGGAATGGATAAAAGGAAAATAGTGATTAAATTCTAATCTGAGTTTGTCGAGTCGTATTGTAGAATAACGAAATGTATTAGTAATTATTGATCTTGACGACACAGCATTAGTTTAACCAAATAGTTATTTTATGTATTGTATTGGAATAACATCGAAATATGAAATGATCGAAGAATATAGGCTAAAGTTCCTGTTGACCGATTCCGGTTTCTATTGTTACTACTATCATTATATGATAATAAATTGCATTGTGATATATGAAGTGATCACAATTCGACAAAAAGCAATAGATACACAAATATACATAGAACAGATGGTGTTAAAATAAAATGTTGAAAAAACTACAAAATGAATTACTAATGATTGATGGATGCGCTCTTGTATTTAGAACAGTTGTTCTATCAATCTATTTGATTCATTGAATATCTTTATGCTTTAGGAACTCATTTGTCTTGTAAGATAGATGTAATAAGAAGGAGCACGTATAATTTTATTCTTCGCGCGTCATTTTAGCTACAATATTTGCCTAACATAAATTCATGCTGCTCTTACTCTGTGCAAACCTTGTCATATATTCTTGAGTTCATGCTTTTCTATGCTTGCCGTATCCTGACTGAACTAAATGTAAAATATTATCATTCGCTTGATTGGCATCTAGAATATGATTCTTTCGCTGCACTAAAAAAATAAAGTCGATAATCTACAGACCAGCTAGAATCTCTAGAGTTTCAAAATGATCTAATCACAGAGATTACTTATAAGTTATTTTTCGTTTTTCGGAAAACACATCGAATAATCTTTCTCTTGTCACCGTACAATTGCTAAGACTTATAAGTGAATCCGCAGAAATATCCTCTTAGACTTATGCAAAATTTTACTTTCTTCCAAAATGGTTGCCAGCATGTAAGATTAAAACGTATGAGATTTTGACAAAATGTATGAATACATTGTTCTTCTACATACCTAGAGGATGCATCATGGCGTTCCTGATTACAAGATTACATAAAATAAAAGGATTAGATTTATTTCGTATGGTTGGTTTTTTTTAGAAACATACAAGATTCTGCTTCCGTCTGCAACTTGTTGAAATGAAGAACTATAATATTTCACTACTTATTTTCAGCTTACATATTTTCAAATATTTCACAGTTTGTTTTGAACTTAGAAATGATACAAATTAACTTAAATTGTTGATACAATACAAATCTGAGTTCCATTGCTTTTTCATTACTCTTGTCTCCAATCTTTATTGATGCTGCTGTTTTTCATATGCTCATAAACTAAAAAGCATGGTATCTCATTTGAATGGTGTAAAAAATAGTAAAACTTCAATCAATGTCAATCTTTTGCCTTTT